CACGGCGCATGTGCTAAGACAGAACCGGAAGACAAATCCTGGGCCATTCATTTTCAAACCTCAACAGGAGAGAAACAACTGGGACAGATAAGGACCCCAATGAGGGGTGAGGGTGGGAGCCAAGAGAGGCTGCGAACTTGCTTCCTCCAGGAGATGTAGGGGACAGCTGGAGCGTGGGGTTTCCATGAACTTCGGTAAGATTCCAGTGCCTAAACCAGGCCCTCCTCTCTAGCACCGTCTCGCTCGCTCGTGCTAGTTCTCTCTTCCCTTTTCACCTGCTCCCCACACATTTATCCCAGGGCAGCACCAGGATCACGCAGAAGGCCCCTGTGCCAAGGTGCCACTAGCCACGCTGGCTACCCTCACTGGCCTCAGAGTTGGAGCTGTAACACGGGGCCACCACGCGCCTCGCCCACCTCACAGAACTGCAAAGACAAGTGAAGATGCCTGTGGATTACAAAGTTCTGTGTTAGACAACGGTGATTACGTGTTCACAGCAGGTCTGCTCCTAAGCTGGAAAGAGCCCAAATGGCAATCAACGGTGGAATAGATAAATGAATTGTGGTTACTGCACATAATGGAATACAACATAGCAATAAAAAAGAATGAGGCACTGCAACCCGCAAGAACATGGATGAGCCTCCCAGACATAATGTTGAGTGAAATAAGCCAGACACAAAAGCAAACATACTGTGTGATTCAATTTATATGAATTTCAACAACAGGCAAAACTAATCTCTGATGATACAAGGAAGGATAGCAATTACCTTTGGGGAATATTGACTTGAAGGGTGGCACAAGGGCTGCTGGGAATGTTCTGGATCTTCACCTGGATCATGTATATGTACGAGTTTATCAAGATGTACATTTGAGTTTCGTATACTTTGCAGTATGTGAGTTATACCCCAATTAGACAAAGCGATACGACTAGGATTATTTGGGTTGGAGTGCCCTCTGTGTCAGGTGCTAGGAAGGCTTTTTGGAGGGGAATTAAAAAGCGATTTTGCTGCTGCTTCTTTCCTGCTCTCATCCACTCCCTCAGCCTCTCCCTACATAGGAAGCATTTGCTCCTTGACATTCCTTTATTCCACCCTTTTATTCCCTTCTTGGCACCCCTACTATGGGCCAGGCACTATTCTGGAAGCTGGGGTGCACTCTTGCTCTCAGCTTTCCCTTATGCAATGAACACGTAAGTAACCAACCATGCAGCCCCTCCTCCACCAGCAGGGACGGCCTTCTCTCAGGCAGGTGCAAGTGGCAAAGAGCTGGGCACAGGGCATCTAGCCTCCTCCTCAGGCTTCACCTATCACTCCAAGAAAGGAGAAAGGTGCCTGCTACATACCCAAGTGCATTTGATCCCCTACAACTGTGGTCCCCAACCCCAGGTCATGGACCAGTACTGCTCTGTGGTCTGTTAGGAACCTGGCCGCACAGGGGGAGGTGGGTGGTGGGCAAGCGTGCGAAGCTTCCTCTGTATTTACAGCCGCTCCTCATGGCTCTCATCACTGCATACGCTCCGCCTCCTGTCAGTTCAGTCAGTTCCGCCTCCTGTCAGTTCAGCGGTGGCATTAGATTCACAAAGGAGCCCAAGCCCTGCTGTAACTGCGCATGCGAGGGATCTAGGTTGCAGGCTCCTTATGAGACTCTAATGCCTGGTGATCTGAGGTGGAGCTGAGGCGGTGATGCTAGCACTGGGGAGCGGCTGCAAATACAGATTATCATGAGCAGAGAGGTTTGACTGCACAATAAATAGAATGCCCTTGAATCATCCCCAAACCATCCATCCCCCCACCTACAGTTGATGGAAAAAAATTATCTTCCATGAATGCAGTTCCTGGCGCCAAAAATGTTGGGGACCGCTGCTCTACAACCCAGCTCATGTAGCTGGAAGGCAGCAGGCTTCCTGCTGCAGGACCAGTCTGAAGGTGGCACGTAAAGGCATTAAGAACCAGCCACTTATTGAGGGCTGGGCAGAGCAGGCCGAACTGCAGAGGACTAACATCAGCAAGAAAGCCCCAGTGTGTGGGAGAAGCACTGTGGAAAAGAGACCAAGCACAACACTAGTGCTGGAGCCGGGTTTCCTAGAAATTTCTCACACACTTCATCCATCTCGGTAAGTAAAACCACGTGCACCCGGTTGCTCTGGCCAAAACCTGGGAGGCATCCTTGAGCCCGTTCTCTCTCCCTCACGCCCAGCATCTGATCCATCAGCAAGGCTTGGCTCTGCACAGAATGCATCCCAGACCCGGCCCCTCCTCGCTTCCTTTCCTGCGAGCACCGTGGGCTAAGCCACCAGCCTTTCTCACGTGGGCAGCGTCAGCAGCCTCTTGGCCCATGTCTTGGTTCCTACTCTGGTGTCTGCTCAAGGCCAGAGTGGCCTTCTCAAAGTGGAAATTGATCAGGTCTCTCAGGCCCAACTCTCCCGTGCTCACTCCAGTCACATGGCCCTTCTTTCAAGCATGAACAAGCTCCTGTCACCTCAGGGCCTTTGCACATGCTCTTTCCCTCCCATACATCATTACCATCTGACATCCTTTGGGTCCCACTTCTCACACTTCCTCCGAGGACTCTTCCGGGGCTATGCTAGCTGAATCCCTCTCTAACCCAGCACTCCCACTCATTTCTCTCATAACCGGTTTGCCTGCCGTGTGCCTCTCTTCCCTCTTAAAATGTAAGCCCCATGAGGACAAAGGCCTTCTCCATCCTGTTCACTCAGAATAGCATCTGGCCCATGGAAAGGGCTTAATACACATTCATCTGATGAGCGCTGCCTAGAAGCAGGGGATGGACAAGATGACTTCCAAGTTGATCTGGCTATAAGATCCGGAGTACAGAGCTCTGGGGTTCCTGTTGCCCTTCTCAGCAGGAGGAAAAGGCAGGGCGGTAGTAAGAGCTGTGGTTTCTGGGACAGACTCACCAGCTGGGTGGAGCGCTCACCACCAGTGGGTCCCATTTCCTACAGAGGAAAATGCTACACAAAGCCCATCTGTCTGGCCCCTGCCCTGCCAGTCCACCCTCTCCCCTCTTGGCTGGCCTCCGTGGTGGGCCAGAGCAGGACTGCTGCGTCCTGGTGCATGCTGAGCCCCGACACACGTGAGAATTGTCCAGCAGGCCACATCCCCCCCAAAGTCATGTTTGCCATCCCCCTGTCTCCACGCAGGAGGCTGCTGCACAACAAGGGAACATCTTTTGTCACATCTCTCTGGCCCTCTCTGGGCCCCCCAGGCACCCAACTCAGACCCTTCACTTCCAGGATGTTTCTCCCCCCATCCTCTCTAAATGTATCCCCTGCTGCCAAGAGATGGGAAGCAAAAGGAGGAAGGCAGGTGAGGATCAAGAAGTGTCTGCCAGGAGGCAGAGAGGGACAATTAGAAGGCAGCATAAAAGTCCAGAGACCTTGGGGACGTCACTCTACCTTGTGGTGCCTCAATCTCCTCATCTGTACAACAGAGTGATCTTTTGGCCAATGCTTTATGCTCTTGTGGAATTAAAACAATAAAATCTGATAATGCACACAAAATGCTTTCTAAGGCCTAAAGTGCTGTACAAATATTCGAATGTTCACTGCTATTAAGAGAAACAGACACAGGAAGGGCAGTCAGAAGTGGGGTAGACTGAGAAGGAGCAAGAAAACCGAAAGGTTCTGGGGGTTAAGGTGGAAAAACTCCACTCTCCAGATAAACAGAAGGAGGAGGGAGACGCAGAAGCCTACTCTCCACCCAGGGAAGAAAAGGCCGAGGGAGCCAGGAAGGCAAAAGACAGCAGAAGGTGCTGAAAGCTCATCACACAGATGCACCTACGGCAAGCCAGACCCTCTGCACCTTTGCTAGGTGACACTCCGAGCTGGAGTCTACAGGTGGGGAGATGCCCTCCAGCAAAGTGTGGGGACCCAAGGCTTAAGTAAGGTCTCCCAAGAGGAAGACGATTCCGCCCAGAACTGCCTGATCCTTCAGCACCCCTTGTAACCCCAGTGACACTTGGCCCTTGGTGCTCCCAGTTGACAACCACCAATCACGACGTTTTTGAGCACATAGCAGGTGCCAGGCACTAGGCTGGGCACCTCACACACATTGTCTCATTGACCTTACGAGGCAGGCTTCTTAGTCCCATTTCCTTGAGGATGAAACAGAGGCTCAGAGAGGTGCATGGCTTGCCCAAGGCCACCCAGCTCTTAAGGAGCGGAGCATGAGAATGTGCCTTTTGGAAGCATCCCCCTTCCACCTTCCATTCTTCCCTCCTGAAAGGTCAAGGGTGAACAGCAAAAATAGAGGGTGAAAGGGCAGGGAGGGAACAGCAAAAATGGGAGAAGGTGCAGACACTGGCTGCAAGGAACAGGCAAGGCATTTCCACCTCCAGGCAGAGCTGAGTCCACTAGACAGAAAAATTTCCTTCCCAAACTCATAATCCACCCTGGTGTCACCCCAAGTTTTCCAAGAAGCTGACCTATCACTCTGGGTCCAGGCTTGAGAGGATGCAGCAGGGGCCTAGCCAGCCTGGCCAACCAGGACCCTGCAATCCCTCAGTCTTTGTGCCTCAGTTTCCCTCTCCCACCAAGCCTACGCAGGAAACATGGAAGGGGAAACTGAGGACCAAAAGGGAACCTGATCGATGAAGAAGGATGGGACAGTGTCTCAGAGGATTCCAGACCCATCGGGATCCTGACCCCGGGCCTCATTCCTCACCGCAACTCCCTGCCCGCACTTACCCCTTCTCCCGCCCTCAGACTCCTGCAGCTGCCGACAGTTTCTCTAGGCTGGCGGAACAGGACCAGCTGGAGTTGTGCGTGGCCCACGGGGTAATTGAAATGTGTGCCTCTACCCATACCCCTTACTTTCCCTTGAGAACTAGGAGAAACACCTTCAAAGTCCCCCCCTCGGAGCTGGATCTCGCCGCCCCGACGGCGCGCAGCGCCCCCACCCATCCCCCTCGCTCCCCAACGCGCCCCGCCCCTCCCCCGCCCCGGGCCTTCGCCTTCACCTTGACCTGCGCCCGCTCCCAGGCCCCGGCGCTTTGCATAAACAAAGAGAGGAGGAGGGACGACCCGGGCGCCGCCCCCGCCCCGCCAGCGCCCCCATCCACTCTGGGATCCCAAACCAGGCCCGTCCCAAGTCCTCCAGGGACCCGCCAGCCCGCGGCCCCTTACCTTGGCCTGGCATTTCCGATGACAGGAGAAGCTGCAGACTGCAAGAGGGCGAGACACAGAAAGAAAGTTTTAGCCGCGAGGTATGAAATGGAAACTCCGCGAAATCTCCTCCCACCCCCGCCCGCAATCCGCGCTTGGGAGGGAAGGAGGGACGGAGGGAAGGAGGGACGGAGGGAGGGAGGGAGGGGGCGGAGGGGAGCGGCTCCCCCGGGCCTGAGAGGCGGGAGCGCCCGCGACTGTGGACCCGCGAGCAGGCGGGGAGGCACCGGCCCCCAGCGCCAGAGCCTGTCCGGGCGCGGCAGGGTGGGGGGAGGGGGGGCTGTTCCCCCAATGCACCCCTGCCATGGGCAGAGGTAGCCCGGACCCACGCCAGCCACACACACCACAGAGGCAGACAACACCCCCGAACAGATCACACTCACGGTACTCCCCCCACCCCCGACAGACACAGGCCCAATTCAGGGTCCAGGAGAGGGCCCATGCGCACACACGTACACACTTATGCCCAAACACACACTCCCCCGGAACCACTCCCACCCATAGACACAGCCGCATACACATACACAGCCTCACACATGCGCATGCCATGCTCACCCCCTGACCCAGATCACCCGCACACTCAAAGTTTCCTCGGAGACCCTCAGAGTCCAGCCTGACTCGGGCCTGTGGACAGATGCTCACACAAACTTCATGTGCATGAGATGAAACATACACACACAACACACACACACACACACACACACACACACACACACACACACGTACACACAATGGAGTACTACTACTGAGCCATGAAAAGGAATGAAATAATGTCATTTGCAGCAGCTTGGATGGAACAGGAGACCATTATCCTATGTGAAGTTTCTCAGGAATGGAA